GTTAAAATACGCTGTTTTTATATATATATATATATAAACTAAGTGATCGAAAATCGAACACGCATTTAGATCCTCTAAATGTTTTAATTTAAAACAGTATATGCGGAATAATTCTACACGAAAGGAATGTAACACTCCTCAAAATAAATAACTGTATAAATAACGATCAATACAGGAAAACTTAATTTAAATGCGCACTATGGTGTACTTCCGCTTTTCAATTATAACGAACAAACGTAATAATGGCGTCAAACGAAAATAAAAAGTAACCAATGCATTACAACCGGTCAGATGCTCTTTAAGTATGTTTTAAAAAAACAATCAGAGTTTTCAAATAATTAAACGATAAATTTTTTCTTCTTCTTCTTCCAGAAAGTCTTTTAATTAATTAGTAATAAGATATTTCCGCGCGAAATCCGATCTCGGAACCAACTGCGACCTATTTTATTTTAATTTATAAAATTTGAATATATCATTAAAAACTGCTGTTATTATATATTTATAATTATGACTGAGATTACAGATTGTTTACGAAAGATTTTCGGTAGTATACAAATTAATATTCTAATTTGAGGAAACGTTTTCGAAATCAAAACTGAAATACGAGTGAGGAATTCAAACGACTGTTTCCCACTGTGAAACTATTTCAAATGAATCTAATCTAGCAAACTTGATGAAAAAAATAGTTTATGAGAACTTTAACATTTTCAATCACGTTAATAAGGAAAAGGAGAGTTTTGTATAATACTTTAATTTAAAAAAATCTGTTCGTAGCGTTAAATTATAACTCTGGTTTATGTATAAAAAGAATTAAATTAGTTGAAAATAAAACAAATAAGTTGTAAATAAAAGAAATTAACGTAATTTTTAGACTGGAAAACAATTACGAAAATTTCAAAACACTGCATTTTTACCTTAGTTATAATATAAAACAATAGAAATTAAATTGGATACTTAATTCGTAACTTTATCTGTGTAGAATTATTATATTCACTTACTGAATTGATTAAATGTAGCTTATAGGCTATCTTTTAAGAATCAAGTTTATAGTTTTGAGGTTGAGTATATGACTAAATATGATGTACTATAGAATTCTCAAGTTCAATAGAGTACATTTACATAAACATTCTAACACATTATTGAAGAATAAGTAAGAAAATTACTTCATATTATCATCAAAGTACGAAATTCACAAATTTTATTAAATACATCCATAATATTGATACAAATTAAATATCAGACAAATTCATCAACAGTTTTCCTAGTTTAATGCTACAATATTTTTGAAGAATTGTACTAAACAATTATTCTGCAGTGCAAGTAAGATTTCTAAATTTTTATCCTGATATAAATAAATGCAAACAGTTAAAAAAAATTGCTTCATGGAAAAATAATACTGGATTATTCAGCAATTTTTTAACAGAGAAGTTAAAGAACATTCAAATCAAGTTAGCACCAAAAAAATTTTTTTTATTAAGTAAGCTATAAAAATACAAACGTATTAATTTAATCCTAGATATACACTATTCAGCTACTTGATAAACTTCACACTTAAAATTAAAGAAACTGTCAATAAAAAGTTGTCAATACTGACAACTAACAAATAATTGAAACAGTTCTTGATAGTTATGATCATAAATCTCTCAAACTATTTTTCAGAGATAGATAGTTACTTAGGAATTATTTTAATTATAAATCAAAACATCCTGATGGGTAATATGTTCAGTATAGGTAATGCAGTGTATAATACTGTACATCTTTCCAAACAGAATGCAGAAAAATTACAAACAACTGCAGTGTAGGTAAGAAATTTTAATTTGGACTTGATTCACTTTAGAACAGAACCTTCTAAATCATCATGAGCTGTAAAAATCATTATTAACCAATATCCCTGGTAATGAAATCCTGTTTGAAACAACCTTATCAAGTACTAACATAAGAGTTATTACCAGTTGATAAGAACATGGAATGAATTTATTGCTGTGTCACTTTTGCTTCCACTTTGTACAAGAAACTAACTTATTGCTGATTTAGAATTATAAGTTTATTTTATCAATTTAAAAATTGCAAAATATATATATATATTAATTAATTTTTTAATGTAATGAGTACTATCACTAGTACATTATCCTAGTAATTTTGAATCATTNTTTATGTATTGTATTTTTTGAACTTATAAGGTCTAGTATTAACATTTAAATTGTTTATTCTAGAATGTTTTAAATTTTTCATTCTATCAAATGAAATCATTGTTCATCTTATAAGTTTATCCTGAAGATGATCAGTTAAATACAGCAAAAAACATTAGAGATTAAAATGGATAATGCAATTTTTAAGATTTTTTGGCATGTTTAAAATAGTAACATTTTGTAGTAAAACTAAAGATGTGTACAAATATGCAATCATGAAATACAAATACACTTAATTACTATACTATACAATCAAACCTCAAGTTACAAATGCCCCTGTTTAAGGACAATTCAGTTTACAAACAAAATTTTGAAATTTACTCTGGTTGCCATACAATAACTCTGTTTCCAAACAAGCTACTCAGCAAGAACTGTCCAGAGATAGTGAACTCCCTATACTGTGTGTTAAAGAAAGTCGACAGCCCAACCAATCAACAACAGGACTACTAATTCAGAAGTTAGTGATGCCAAGATCATCTTGCATCACATAACGAATTATCAATGACATTGTTATTTAAATTACAGTTCAATGTGCATGCGGGAAAGATACTATTTCCATTTTTCTGTATGCACCACATTTCAATTTAAATCAAATTAATAAATAAAAACTGCAATTGGCACAAATGGCATTAAAGAATTTGTGTTTAAATTTGCTTAAGTTAAATTAAATGGCAAAAATTTATTAATAAAATATTATATATTATAATATTAATATTTATTAATACTAGGTAACAAGTTAATTTAAACTATAACTAATAATTAAAACTGGGCTTTACACTAAATCTAAAAATAACAATTAATTAAAATCAAATTAATTGAAACACAATATTTTGAAAAGCATTGATAAAGTACTTGTTGTCAGTCTTGATAGATTTAGATATAGTCCATCTTGGCAGTCAGAGTTGAGTCTCTATTTATAGCACTTCTTTGTAAAGTGTTAGTTTTGGTTTCTGTTTGGGTTACTGGTAAGGAACATTTTGCTTTTAATACTATACATATATAGAATAAATACAAATAAAGATGAAGTAATATTATATACAATATTGCCTTTAGTCATTTTATGCCTAAAATATTGATAACAAGATAAAAAACCACGTCTTGTTTTAGGGTCAGGAATGAAATAATCTATTTTACAGTTTCTTATGAGAAAATTTGTTTCCGTTTGAGAACAAAATCGGTTTCCAAACAACTTTTAGGAACAAATCAAGTTTATAAACTGAGATTTGACTGTTACATTTAAGGAAAAAAAAAACACCTTATTTTCAGAAATTACTTACGGAGTAGTTTCTTCATCACTGTCTGGCAAAATGTTTCGAGTGCATTGCAGCAAGTAGTTTCTTAGAAATAAACCCCTTAATGGATGCTGAACACCTCTGCACATCTCTACAACATCTTTCAATATATCTTTCTTTGAATGCTCATTTGTTTTCATATATACCAATCCAACTGTAATCAGTAGATATCTGAAAAATTTAAAATTGCTCAATTTTAAACTGAAAACAGAGTAAAAAGCATAGTAAATTTATATACAATTACTATAATAAGTGAATAATTATTCTCATTTCAACTGATAACAGAAATGAATGTTTTAGGAAAAATACACTAATACATATGTGAGAATGTAGCAAAACAAAGGAAAAAAACCCACCAATATGATCTCATTAGAAACAGGTATATGTCAATTTTCTGACCTGAGAAAGTATCAACTGACACTTTCTTAGAGTCAATCTTGACATCTTATGACCTTCCTATTAGTCACTTGTACAGAATTACACCTTTGAATATGATGAAGGATGGCTAATTCTGGTAAGTCATCATCGCATATTCTTCAAGCTTTTATGATCAGTATTTGGAACCATTTCGGATTTGTATGTTTGTTTGCTTTATCTGCATTTCTGATTGAGTGCTATACAATGTGGAAAATATTGTCCGAATTTAACATTGTGAACTATTTTCCATCATGGAGAACTGTTTGTACTTTCCTACGTGGAAATATTTCTCAGGATTAGATGTTATCATAAACTGTAAACACACATTCCATGATCAAAACAAACAAATGAGAACCCTATGTCTTACTTATACGTATACTGTACTGTACAAACTTTTATGCAATCTAACAAATATTTAAGAATAGTTAACTGTGTTGAGTGACAAGTCAGCCTCACCAACTATCTACATTGAGAGTATTCTTAATTGTTTAGTTACACTCCACCTCCAACCATTACCTTTTGTTGTTAAAGGGTTCTGATGTACTAAGGGTCCTAAACTAAGGGTGTATAGCTTTTGAAGGCATATATTCTTTACTATGTTGACTTTCAGTCCCTTTTCCCTTCCATCAGAATTTAACCCTGTTTTTATGAGTTAAGAGATTTCTTCTAACCAACATCAATTGTTCACACAAGTGTCATTTGTCAATATTGGAATTAGTGCATTTGGTTTGCCATTCTTCCTTCTTCAATTTTGAAGATGCCACTTATCTCTAGGTCAGAGGCATTCCAATATGGAGTCCCATTATGTGAGCTTATTTATGGTTTGACATTTAGAGGAGGCAGTACTTCCGAAATTTCAGAATTGTATCTTGTTGTATTTGAGATACATGGACATTATTTTAATTGTTTGGTGCCATTAACAACAATCTGTACAGATTAACACTTTGTCTAGAATAGCATGGTAACCACCAAGTACATTTTCTGGATGTCCTTATTACTTTGCAGGATGGCATTCTCATCAGTGATGTAAATTGTAAAGTGTTTACAAACCAATCTATATTCCACCTTCCTCACACAATCCTCCTACTAACAAGTCTGTGTCATTCAGGGCCTTGGTTCAGAGAGAATTTTCCCACTTTTCGAATGTACTGTACTGTACATCTCAGCAATTGACAGCTAAGCCACATTTACTGTATCATCATTGGATTTGGATACTACCCAAGATTTATCAAACCATTATACAATGTTTTCAGTGCCAAACATCTTCCACCACAGCTGAAAAGATCCTCCATAAAATTATCACATGTAACACTATATTAGATGTTATAAGTAAGAAAAGTGTGCAATATTCAGAATTCACATTACATACAGCAGAAGTCCTACAGTGTTCAGCTTACTAAGGAATGATATGGATCCTTTGCTCAAAAGAACTCTTCCTGGGGTGTACTCAATTCCTTTACATAACCATAGGGCTGATTGTTACTACCAGTATAGGTATCACCTGTAGACCACTATTTACAAGGATTAGGGAGCACCAGTAATCCATCACAAAAAAAAAATTAATAATAGTGTTGACCTCTTTGTATCAGACCAATTATAAAAAAAATAATGTCATGAAGTAATGAAGATGCACACTTAATTAAATATATCTTAAGAGAGTACAGTGTATAAGCAAATTTTAGTGGAGAAATTAACCTTTTCAGAAAAGAAATAAATGTAAGTAAACATGTATCACAGCAGTAAAATAACCTGAGTAAATAATATAAAATTTTATAGGTAATTTTTAGAAAATAATTATTGTATGAAAAATTAGGTAGTTAAGGTATCAAGGTAAAAGTTAATTGTGAATAAAAATTGTAAGAGATGCAATTTTTTTAAAGTGGTAAATTGTAAGTAACCACATTTTATGTTGTAAATAATTTGAGAATGTTAAATAATTAAAAGTTTTAAGGTAAATTATATAAAAATAGGTTATTAAGATGTAAAAGAAGTTATTTGTTACACAAGGAATTGTAAGCAGATATAAACTATATTGCAATATAATTGAGAATGTTTTAAATAATGTATAATTTTTTAGGAAATGTAGAAAAATAATCATATGAAAAGAAACAGACGTACAGTTCTTAGTTATAAATTAAGACTGGCTAAAGAAGACTGAATAAAGTCGAAATGCATACTGGTATAAGTAAATAATACTGTTGGTGGTGTACACACTGTTAAATAAATTTACCAGAGTATAAGGAATCTGTAAAAATGATCTTGTATACAATAGTATAATATAAAAAAAAGCAATATATTTGTTTATACTTATAAAACTTTTGCTTAATGTAATCAGAGTTTCAATTATTTAACTATAACAGAAACTAAAGATAAAACTGAAGAGTAGTAACTGAAACAGCAGTTAGTTATTAACAGCTTCAACATATGACTGATAACATGCAATCAACAATCTCAATCAGTGTTTTAAATATTAAACGTTAATATTAATAGTTTTAATTGTTACTTGTGAGAGAATCTGGGAGCTGTTTTTCTATAATTTTCTTCATTTAAAGACATTTCTTTATTCCCATCCATTTCCCACGAAGGTAAAAATGGGAGACGATTGAATTAACTGTCAATAATCGACTAGTCTTGGACGCAACAAGTCCTTTCCCCCGTCATTGATTTAAGAAAGTTTTGAAATAAAGTTATAACATCTTATTATTGACACTTAAGAAAGTCGAAAGTTAAACAATTCAGCGATGAAAAGAGAACAAGTTCAATTCTCACTGCCCTAGCCGGCCCACCAATGACACATTCGGAGTGTCATCACAACCAAACATCGAATCACCTAACCAAATTCCCACACTGGATGGGGATATAACAGCTGCACACCCAACCTTCGGGGAGGATTTCACCATAAGAGTACCAAGGCTCCCTTCCCACTATATTAAAGGTGTCCACTGACTCCAACGCAATCAGTCCCTAAGGAACATCTTTAACTTTGTCAATTGTACCAGTGTTGTCTCAATTATTGATAGCTGTTAATTAGAAATGCTATTGCAAAACACAGTAAGCAAACAACATTAAATGAATTACAGGTATCCCTTGCTTAACATAGGATTTGATTAACATGCAAAATTAATTGTGGCAATCCCTTTATATATGCAGCAGAAGATTTAATTTATGTGGCTTTACCAACTGTCTTTACTTAAAATAGATACTGTATTTTGATTAATGCAATTTTAATATATGCAATAGGATTGAGGGATTAATTAACTGCATTAATGAAGGGCTACCTGTACTATTAGCAAGAATATCAGTAATTATTAAATAAATTTGTATATGTGTCTTTTTAATATCAGAGTCAATACGATTGAAATTTCAGCTAATTGTATATAATACAAAATTATTACTTTTAAATCAAAGTAAATTTCAATCATTAAAAAATATTTTTAAAAAATGTTCATTCTAATATTCAGTTTAATTTTCTACATGATTTCTGCAATATAAAATTTTATGTAAATTTCTTTTAGAAGCAATAATAATAAATTTATTTTACATATAAAAAAATCATTCAAATCATACTTACAATCGTGGAATGATATTTCCAGCATACTGTACTAATTCATATAAATCTGCGACTTTTCTTCCTTTCTGAAACTCATCCAACAAATACAGCTCTAAGTGCCTTAACTCATCAGAAACTGACATATCTATACACAAAAATTAAGGCAAATTTACATAATTCTAAAATACTAGAGTTTAGTATATTGGAAATAAGAAAATGTAAATCAATAACTAAAACTCTCTTAACACTCATTACTGCTAAGCTGGGAAAAACAATTCAAACATTTAACAACAAATACTTTCAATTACACTTGGATAATCTTTAGCTAACATTTAGATAAAGTTTTCTTATAATAAAGGTTAAATGTTTATTGAAAACTTAAAACTAGTGACTCTCTAATAAACATACTTAAGAATCATATAATTTAAAAAGGTTAAATTTAGAATATTTTTCAAAAACATTAATAATCTGTTATGAAAGATTTAATAACAGATTATTAATGTTTTTGAAAATATTCTAAATAAATTATTTTGAAATAAATAATTCAATTGTAATCAAAAACACTAATGATTAAATTTTTTGAATTAGTTCCTTGAATTAAGCATATTTATTTATTTAAAGAACTAACTAAAAAGGATACACAACTCATAATAACTTTTTGGACTTAATAACGATGTTCGAAGTTCTCCAAGCATATTAGAAGCATGTTTTAATGCTTCCATCAATTTACTTTTATCAAGGCATCTTTTCATTTGAAATGACTGAACTTTTACAACACCAAGAGCTTCATCCAACAATTTTTCTTGTTCTTCTTGAGGAGATAATTGAGGCGTTTGTGGCTAATGGAAAAATATTAATAATAATTATTATTACTTAATGAAATATATATTTCCTCAATAAAAGTATAAATTAATGTTAAAAAATGTATAATATTTAAATGTCATATATAAATCATAACTTTACTAAGCAATTTGAACTTTTCAATTAAATTCAAATTCTTTATAAATTATTACTGTTTACAAAGCATAACAGCAATTATAATAAAAAATTTTATTACAATAGAACTTTAAATGAATCAAATTTTAAATTAAGTTATAAATAACTTTTATTCTGATCTTCAAAAGCTCCATCATTTAAATTTTTAATTTAAAAAAAAATTAACTGCATCTCAGAACAAATTATTTCTAGCTTACGGAATTCCCTTTTTCAATAAGTCTATCAATTTAATTGAAATGGACTATATTAAAGCTTTTATATGATCATCTATTTTTCAATCATCATTTTTGTTAACAAAATTACATTTTATTTTATATTCTTTTTTTTCACAATCTAGTTTTTAAAAAAATATCCACTAGTCTAATCACAAGTAAAAAGTTTAGACCGAGGGATCCCTCGGCACACTCATTCAAAGTGGCATGTCGGTAGAAATTGTCCAGCATATAACGTATCATACAATTTAAATTTTTCAGCTGTCTCTTTTCAATTGCCTTCTTTACATTTATTCTAATTAAAGCATATTTATTTCATTTTTAATTAATTAAAGAATTTATTTGAAGTCAAACTTTGAACGTAACACACACACACTTTTTTAAAGATAATTATTTTCAGTTCTCATGCTTATTGTGCAGCATTTGGAGTGAAAAAGGATCACCATCCCTGACTTAGACCTTATTGGATATAATTAGGCTTTAATAAAAAATATTATTATTTTTCCTTATTAGAAAAAATAATAATATATAATATTGTATATAAATTAGAGTTATTATAGTATTAGTAAAACTCTAACTTATAACACTACTATATATATATACATATACACTTCAGCTCACGTGCATAGTTTTTAAACGCCCATTTCTAAATTATAAACAATTCTAAATTCCGAAAGTTTTGTAAATAAATAAATACACTAAAAACGATATGCAAAATTGCTTATTCCCTTTTTTAATATTTAGTTTTTAAGAACTATTTAACAAATTTAAATAATTATTTTAAAGGTTTGACACGCCTGGCAACTTCAACGTACAGCGATAAACACAAGAACAAGTTCAACTCCTCCGACTTCGTTACCGAAGAATTACCTTAGTAAATCGGAAATCGCCCAAATATTCTACTATTTTTAATGCGCCGGAACCTTCGGAAATCGGAAATGGAAAGCTATTCATAACTTTAAAATAAATTTATAACTCTAATGGCGCATGGATTTAAAAACTTTCGACTAGGAAACGAACGCCACATCAACAAGTGTTACGCAACTGGGTCAGAGCGGGGTCACGAGACAATTTAAGTTCCGTGGCATTGGCTATTTTACATAAACAAACGAACTTGAACTAGTATTATTCTATAATTATAAATTTATTAATATAGTAAAATATATAATTCCCGATGCCACGTGGTAACAAAGAAATAGACAGCTTTACAGTTCATTCAAGTAATAAATGCGCGTGTACGTTTCTATTTGTAATTTTATCCGTAAATATTAGACTAATTAAAGTTTATTTTATTAAAAAGCGAATAAAACGTAATACTGTTAAAATACGCTTTTTTTTTAAATATATAT